ACAGAAAGACAAAAAAATGTAAGTCTTATATCAAAACGAACGAAAAACAAAAAGTTTCCATGCAAGAAAAGATAGGAGTAAAAATTTACCTACACAGGTAACAAATTTAGGGTTAGGTCAGGTAACAAATTTAGGGTTAGGTCAGGTAAAAAAAATAACCGGTTTCAAATTTCTAAAATCCCGTGTCTGTTTTCGTCTGGTGTCGTCTAGAAGCGAGGTTGATATTGTAGATGGCGTCGATGTATGCATTATTTTGGTGTTTGAGTTTAATACGAGCCAAGTTTTTAAACAACAACAAAAAAAAACAGCTTACCTCTAGACTTGGAAAGAAATATTTATTACCATAACAACTGAATAAACATTTATTACCATAACAACTGAAGAAACATTTATTACCATAACAACTGAATAAACATTTATTACCATAACAACTGAAAGAAGCATTTATTACCATAACAACTGAAGAAAAATTTATTAGCCATAACAACTGAAGAAGCATTTATTACCATAACAACTGAATAAACATTTATTACCATAACAACTGAAAGAAGCATTTATTACCATAACAACTGAAGAAAAATTTATTACCATAACAACTGAATAAACAATTATTATCATAACAATTGAAGTAGTATTTATCAGCATAACAACTGAATAAACATTTATTACCATAACAACTGAGGAAACATTTATTACCATAACAACTGAAAGAAGCATTTATTACCATAACAACTGAAGAAGTATTTATTACCATAACAACTGAATAAACAATTATTACCATAACAACTGAAAGAAGCATTTATTACCATAACAACTGAAGAAACATTTATTACCATAACAACTGAATAAACAATTATTACCATAACAACTGAAGTAGTATTTATTACAATAACAACTGAAGTAGTATTTGTTACCATAACAACTGAAGTAGTATTTATTACCATAACAACTGAATAAACAATTATTACCATAACAACTGAATAAACAAGTATTACCATAACAACTGAAGAAACATTTATTACATAACAACTGAAGAAATATTTATTACCATAACAACTGAAAAAACATTTATTATTATAACAATTGAAGTAGTATTTATCAGCATAACAACTGAATAAACATTTATTACCATAAAAACTGAATAAACATTTATTACTATAACAACTGAAAGAAGCATTTATTACCATAACAACTGAAGAAACATAAACGACTGAATAAACAACTATTACCATAACAACTGAATAAACATTTATTACCATAACAACTGAATAAACAATTATCACCATAACAACTGAAGAAACATTTATTACCATAACAACTGAAAAAATATTTATTATCATAACAGTTGAAGTAGTATTTATCAGCAAAACAACTGAATAAACATTTATTACCATAACAACTGAATAAACATTTATTACCATAACAACTGAAAGAAGCATTTATTACCATAACAACTGAAGAAACATAAACGACTGAATAAACAATTATTACCATAACAACTGAAGAAACATAAACGACTGAATAAACAATTATTACCATAACAACTGAATAAACAATTATTACCATAACAACTGAAGAAACATAAACGACTGAATAAACAATTATTACCATAACAACTGAATAAACAATTATTACCATAACAACTGAAGAAACATTTATTACATAACAACTGAAGAAATATTCATTACCATAACAACTGAAGAAACATTTATTATCATAACAATTGAAGTAGTATTTATCACCATAACAACTAAAAAAACATTTATTACCATAACAATTGAAGTAGTATTTATTACCATAACAACTGAGGAAATATTTATTACCATAACAACTGAAGAAACATTTATTATCATAACAATTGAAGTAGTATTTATCACCATAACAACTAAAGAAACATTTATTACCATAACAATTGAAGTAGTATTTATTACCATAACAACTAAAGAAACATTTTTTTACCATAACAACTGAAGAAATATTTATTACCATAACAACTGAAGAAACATTTACTACTATAAGAATTGAAGTAATATTTAGCACCGTAGCACACGAAATATTGATATTTATCGATAAAAGAATACACTCCTTTTGTAAAAGATTATATTAAAAACTAATAATGCAGCAGCTTGCTAGAGAACAAAACTTTGTCTATAAATATTCGTAATTAATGCAAACGTCTGTCCAATTACGTAACTGCTGACCTCTGTCCTTAGTGTACAGATACGTTATAATTCATAGGTTTAGCTTTACCGGAGGTCAGACGATGACCTTATCCTAGAGGGCGGAATTATAAAAATATTTGGGTTTAAGCACTGATAAGCTGTGATAATGTATTATATTATTTTGGTTCAGGCCCTTTTTTTGTCATTGGTTCCTGTACAGGAGACGAGTGAATGAAGACAAGAGAGAAGTAAGCAGCAGGGTACGCCCTCTGTAAAGATGATTCATAGGTTTAAAAAAGGAATTTCCGAATGGATGGGATGAAGCTACACGTGTAACAAAACACCGAAGTAATTAACACTGATAAACAACGATAAGCAAGATGAAGGTTCATTTATAGAAATATACACAGGACGGACATATTTTACTCCACTCCTTGTGTCACGTTATTTCGTTAATCGTTTTAACAAATTTATTTCTTCATTATTATCTTATGAATAATATACATTCTTTTATACATTATTATAACATTATTTCAGGCTTAGAAGATATACATGTAAAATATAATAGCTTACTGGAACTCAGTATTCGACACAAACTTCTTACCTATTTGTGTTTTATCAAACTATATTCCAAGTTTGCCCCTTAAGGAGAAAAGTTCACCTTTCGAAAGCGCTCGGGTTATCAGATTTTTATTCATTTCTATCGAATTAGAAGTTATTATGACAAATTGTGAACAAAGTGTGAAGTATGCCATCTGTTGGACTATTTGATAACTAAAAACACATTTATTAAACAAGGGAGTCGTTCCATTATAGCTCATGCCAACAGTAAATATTATATTAAAATAAATTCTTAACGTGATACTTGTAATTTGGCGCTACTTTAATTTTAAATTCAAGACAATAGTCAAGTCCATAAAACACCTGTTTTTTTCTCGAAATGAAATATTTATTCAACTTTTGACGTCAGTTTCTTAAAAATTCGTATTTATACACACGTGACATATGCTAGACATGAAAAAGAATATAAGATAAATTATTAATTTATAAGGAAAAGTTTTTCATGGCCAATCCATACTAACCTGCATTTGTGTGGAAACTGTCGATTTTCATTCGAAGTCGAGATGACGACAGGTTGTCCACGAGCTGCGGACATTCAGGGGATACAACACACTGTTATACTAGTCAACACATGCGATACTTTGTTCTAAACTCGATACAACACACTGTTATACTAGTCAAGACATGTGATACTTTGTTTTAAACTCGACGCAGCCTAATGTTGTACTATTTAACATGTGTGTTCGTTCAAACAGGTGATGAGATATTGTCTTACTTTACCTTCCGCTTGAGGGAGTGCTGTACGTTTTACATGTGTCTTACTTTACCTTCCGTTTGGGCCCGGCATGGCCAGGTGGTTAGGGCGCTCGACTTGCAATGCCATACTTTGTTCTAAACTCGATACAACACACTGTTATACTGGTCAACACGTGATATTTTGTTTTAAACTGTGTAAAACGTACAGCACTCCCTCAAGCGGAAGGTAAAGTAATACACGTGTAAAACGTACAACACTCCCTCAAGCGGAAGGTAAAGTAATACACGTGTAAAACATACAGCACTCCCTCAAGCGGAAGGTAAAGTAATACAAGTGTAGGGGAGCCAGTAGTTTTTCAAGACTGGGTAAGAAAATGTTAAAGAAACAGTATTCAATTCAGTTTCCGACAATGTTCACCAGGTCTCGCTTCTTGTGTATTGCTTGTTTCCAGGAGGGCAACATTCGTTCTCGCTGTATCGCCAGGTTGTTGATACAGAACATTGTGGACTAGTAACTGGTTTGACAAGACAGGGAAGGAAAACTGTACTGACTCTCTATACATAAACCTAATTATTCATATGTTTTATCGGCTTATTCCATAATTAGAATAATAAACAAAAACTATTAATTTTCTTACATATAAACTGGCCGGCAGAGGACGTGAGAGTTATTTAGAAAACTCAAAACCGTGATATCTAAACAGTTTTATATCGAAGAGATACTTTATCAGAAGATAATAATGATTGTTCTTAACAAAAATTAGATGTCAATGCGAATTAAAATAAAATTACACTTCGCCCCCATACGGTGGTTCTGAGGGCCTATAACTGTAAAAATAGGGTTTGAATACATTGAGTGAGCATAGCACAGATACTCCAATGTGTAGCTTTGCACTCAATAACAAACAAAAATTATAATCAAATCAATTAAATCAGTGGTTCAACTTACGGTATTAACAGTAGGAGATAACATGATTCAACTTTCGGGCCCCCCAATGGCCCAGCGGTATGTCTGTGGAGTTACAACGATATAATCCGGGTTTCGATACCCGTGGTGGGCAGACCACAGATAGCCCATTGTGCAGCTTTGTGTGCTTAATTACAAACAAACAACTTACAGTATTAACGGTAGGAGATGGCATAATTCAACTTTCGGGCCCCCAGTGGCACAGCGGTATGTCTGTGGACTTACAACGCTAGAATCCGGGTTTCGATACCCGTGGTGGGCAGACCACAGATAGCCCATTGGGCAGCTTTGTGCTTAATTACAAACAAACAACTTACAGTATTAACGGTAGGAGATAACATGGTTCATATTACTGTGTCAATACCTCCATTCTGATCTATTTAGATAATACGCTTGCATTTGTCTGTCCGGAACTTTTCTCGCAAATTTCTCTATCAAACGCTACAAATCTTATATCCTTAGAAAAGCCTTTGTCTGAGTGGTCGAGATTGTATATTAGCTTTTCCGTTCAGAATAAGCTTACCTGTTTTCTGGTTAATCAAACGTTTTAATGCAACGAGTATGCAACATGATGGCCTCATTGTTGTTGTATCACCTGACGATTGACTTCGATTTCAACTTTTGTTTGTTTGTGTTTTTTTTTTAGCTGCAAAGTATTTCAAACAAACAACACTTAACCCGCGTGTATTTTCCTAAAAAAATTAACGTTATACTAAATACAATTACTATGGACTTTCTCAATGTATTTAAGTCTAAAATACACATGTGCTGTTCATTCAAAGCCATATGCTTATCACTTTGTCAATACGCATTCAGACGTTTCTGCATAATCAGCTAAGTTTACCTTTATTACAACTTTACATTTATTTTACTTTGCAATAATTTAGTTTTGGTTCGTTTTATAGAATGCTATAAACACCTTTTAGCTTCTTTTTCTCTTTACTATGGGTTTTATTCCTCGTTTCTTGTGAGTGTCTATGGTTCAACTTTTAAAACCGTATCTTACACTGAACCTTCCTAACTGTTTCCTACTCTGTACACTATTATAAGTGCCATTACTATATTTTATTGTTTACTTTACGTGTAGTAACCCAAACAGTAATTAATAAAGGTGAGCAGTAATTCAAATAGTAATTAATAAAGGCGAGCAGTAATCCATATATGAATTAATAAAGGTGAGCAGTAATCCAAATAGTAATTAATAAAGGTGAGCAGTAATCCAAATAGTAATTAATAAAGGTGAGCAGTAATCCAAATAGTAATTAATAAAGGTGAGCAGTAATCCATATAGTAATTAATAAAGGTGAGCAGTAATCTTTTTCTTTCGTTTTGGTTAATTAGGCTAAACGAATTTCCACCTGTTTCCTTTTTAGAATAATAAACAGATTAACACTAAAGAGAAAATATTAGAAAGAAAGGCGATCTTCGCTTTCATTGAATTTCTTTAGCTGGGTTTGTTTATCTGTTTTATAGGCGCAAAGATATACAACGGGGTATCTTCTCGGTGCTTACCACAAGTATCGAACCCTTATTTTAAGCCTCATAGACCCTCAAAACTATCAATGACCACAGGAAGAGGGGGAAGGTAATTTCTTTAGCTCGAAGTCTTTATTTAAAATATATCCTGGTTAACAGGTACTAGAATGAGGGATAAAAATAAAAAGTTCGGAATAAAATATATTTCCTCAATGAATCAGTGGTAAATTTACGGACTTACAATACTAAAATCCAAGGTTCGATTCTTCTTAATGGACAGGGCGCAGATAGCCCATTTTGTAGTTTGGCGTTAAAATACAACCCAATTTTAGCCCCAGGGAAGAAAAGAAGACATGGTTTTGTTTGTTTTAAAACAAAGTCACATTGAGCTATTTACTGTGATCATCGCGTGGAATCGAATCCTGGATTTTAACCTTGTAAGCTCGTAAACTTACCGTTGACTCACCAGGGGGGGGGGGGGAGTGTTTAAATAGAGAATGTTTACACAAAGGGTATCAGGAAAGAAGTATTAAACATGAATCCACACACAACAGAATACATGAATCCACAACAGTATATATGAATCCACAACAGAATACATGAATCCACAACAGAATACATGAATCCACAACAGAAAACATGAATCCACAACAGTATACATGAATCCACAACAGCATACATGAATCCACAACAGAATACATGAATACACAACAGAATACATGAATACACAACAGTATACATGAACCCACAACAGAATACATGAATCCACAACAGTATACATGAATCCACAACAGAATGGCTAAAACTAAATTTTAAGTAATTGTTTATTCATAGCTTACGATGTCACGTAAGTTAGGAAAAAGTTTTCAAATATGACCAACATGATAACGAAGTTTGAGGTTCGTTTGTTTGTTGAATCTTACGCGAAGCTACTCGAGGCTACCTGCGCTACCTCTCCTAGAGGGAAGGTAATTACTGTACATCCCCACCTCATATTCTTGGGCTACATTTGTCGGACCAAATAGTGGGATTTAACTGTCACCCCCATAACGCTCTTACAACCCAAATTGCAGACCGCATTTTTGCGGTAACATATTTTTACGTAGGGTATGGTTGAGCTTTTACAATCAATGTTATTTTCAGTTGGGTATGGTTATTATTTTCCGGTAACGGGGCTGGAACCCCTAAACTTCAGGTCGCGCTCAGCCCAAGTTTGAGGTAATGCCTCTAGCTTTGGCACACAGCGTGTGTTACTTCCAGTTTACGAAGATTAAAAAAAAAAAAGTAAGTTAGTGAAAATAAAGATCCACCTACCGTTCAGTACGCAAATATTACAACTTTCGGTGCTCGCGACGCACGTGAAACATCGCTGATGACCACAGCTATCAATCAGTCGTCGTCTCTTTCCTTTATCAAATGGTATATGACAGGATTGACAGCAGGGGGCGTTGCACTCGATATCTCTCATCATTTTGCTTGCAGGTTTGATTACTAAAATACGAAAATTAAAATACAAAAGGCTGTTAAACTATATCGAATTTCTAAAAGGAGTTATTATCACAACTTATGATTTAAATAGACCTTTAAGACTTAAATGAAACGCATCTAAGGAAAAACACTTATAAAACCAATTGAACTGTAAAATCCAAGTATTTGATATCAATTTCAGACACAGTACGTTTCTTGTTGCTGATCCCATTTCTTTTTTACCTGAACAAAGTTTCTGTTTTTCACAGTTAGACGTTTAGAAGAACGTAGAAAATTAGTATCTGACATTTTATGTAATGCGTACAGACAGACAACGTAATGGCGCCACTTCATAATTTGTAGATATTCAAACTAAACCCTCACACCTTCATAACTTGTACATATCAAACTAAACCCTCACACCTTCATAACTTGTAGATATTCAAACTAAACCCTCACACCTTCATAACTTGTACATATTCAAACTAAACCCTCACACCTTCATAACTTGTAGATATTGAAACTAAACCCTCACACCCTCATAACTTGTAGATATTCAAACTAAACCCTCACACCTTCATAACTTGTACATATTCAAACTAATAATGGCTGGAGACGGCTTAAGTGGGTAATGAAGAAAAACTTTAATACAACAGCAAATGTACAACGTTTCGACAAGGTTTTGTCATCATCATTTGTCGAAGGAACGTGTTTGTAGTTAGGTCATAATGGACTATCTGTGCTGTGCCCATGACGGGTATTGAACCCCGATTTTTATAAGCGTAATAAGCTTTCGGACTTACCGCCAAGTGACTAAGGGGTGACCTAACATGGCGTGGTGATTAGAGCGCTCGACTCACACTCTGAGGGTTGCGGGTTCGAATCCCCATCATTGAACATGCTCGACCTTACAGCCGTGGGAGCATTATAATGTGACAGTCAATCCAATTATTCGTTGATTCGGATAGTGCAGATAGCCCTCGTGTAGCTTTGTGCGAAATTCAAACCAAACTAAGCCACTGGGGGAGGTGAAGCAGGAGAAAGGGGACGAAGGAATCACCGTAAATATTGTTCTATTTCCAGAACTGCGTGTTTCTTATTGGTTTTAGTTTCAGTCTCTGTTCCAAAAAAAAAAGAAAAAAGACCGAGAATCTTTTCTTAGAGTTTGTTGTTCAAATTGGTGTGGACCCTGTTTCTGTACTTTTGTGACAGGATCCTCAGAGGAGTCTTAGTTCTGGGTCTTCAACGGTGAATTTATTTAATTTGGTTTCGATTAATCTTTAAACCGGTTATTTACAATTTTACATCCACTCCTCCTCTAAATACTGAAATTATTTGGTCTTTAGTTGTTTAAATCAAACGTTAGGTTCACGCTTCTGTTTTATGTTAGGCCTATATATATATCTGGTTTATCAATCACGTGCACTTTTAATTCGCTCTTGCCAATAAAATCTTTCAATGTTCTTGATTATTAACAGGCTAATAGTGGCTACTTGTCAAGTATTTCTATTCAGGGGTGTCACACCCCAGAAATAAAGAAAACTAACATAAATATATATCTCGATAGTCAAATTTATAGTTCTTATATACATAAAGAGCGTTGTAGGAGGCCTGTGGATCACATTTATAGTTCTTTATATACATAAAGTCCATTGTAGAAGGCCTGTGGATCACATTTATAGTTTTTATATACATAAAGAGCATTGTAGAAGGCCTGTGGATCACATTTATAGTTCTTATATACATAAAGAGCATTGTAGAAGGCCTGT